AGCACGTCCAAAAACCTCAAAAATTCGCAGACGTCCTCGCCACGACGTACAACATCAAGCGACTTAGCGAACCCTCCCAAATCCTCGGATGGACAATAAAAAAACTACCGAACGGGGACATCTATGCATCACAGCCAAATGCAATACAATATGTTGTAAAGAAAGCAGACATGGACATGGCAAACAGCAAAACGACGCCATACAACACTACAAACACCCTGCATGGACCAACTGAGGATGATAAATCTCTGCCAAAAATCACCAAAATATATCAACAACTGTTAGGGGACATCCGCTACATGGCGGACTCGACATGACAGGACATCTACTATGTGGCAAACCGGTTAGCAATTGCGTCCAAAAAGCCTACAGTAAGACATTGGACCGCCTTAAAGCGCCTCATCCGCTACCTGAAGCACACTTCAAACCACGGACTGCTCTTCAGAGCCGGAAACCACAAGGCAACTGCTCCCGTCATCCCTAATCTCCTCGAATCGTACAGTGATGCCGACTTTGCAGCTGATGTAACCAACCGCAAATCGATTTCGGGAATGGTACATCTATACAACGGCACACCAGTTTGCTGGGGCTCAATGACGCAAACTATCACAGCCTTATCCACGTGTGAAGCTGAGTATATAGCTGCAACTGCAGCAGCTCAGCAAACTACATGGATACGACGCATCCTTCAAGACATCAATATGCTTCTGCCCTCCCCCACGCCATTCCGCATTGACAACCAGTCTGCGATCCGCGTCGCGAAAAACAGCGGGTCAACAAAGAGGCGAAAATTCATTGACATCCGTCATCATTACCTTGCACATCAAACAAAGGCCAAGGCGATCGAAATCAAGAACATCTCCACAAAACAAATGCTAGCGGACATCTTAACAAAGCCGCTCACACCCGTGACATTCACTACCTTAACGAGACAACTTCAAGTTCGCGCACCCCCCCAGTCCCCCCAACAGTGTACGTACCCACCCCAGCCCCCCAACAGGCCGACAGCAAACGATGCATCGCCGCGCAGCGACGGGGGAAGTGTGACAATACCCAGAACAACAACAGTCGCTGCGGCGCTCTCATCCACAAGTGACAATACCCAGACACGTGCACACATAGCACACGTACCACACGCACAGGCACACACCCGCCGGCGTGAGACCAGTAGACTTAGTGTTGAGAGAGCAGGCCCAGACCGTAAAGACTGCCCCATCGTTCCTGCACTATAATTTACAACACAAAAGTCCATTTCACCTCTTCATCACTGCAAAAAGTCACCTCATCGCCCCCCTAAACGCAAAATGGCCCTTTATGTTAATATTTTTCAATGGGGATTCGGAAATTTTATGCCAGCAGTTTGCTCATTTTTGTAAAAGGCGCGTACTCTGTTTGCTTTTGTTGCAAATTTTCGCTGCAGAATGCATCAATAGTTGTATCGTAGTGAAAGCTCAGATCATTACCAATCTATGGGTGTGACCTTTGTCATGTAGTGATGACAAACAGACGAACGGTATGCATTTGATGTGAAATGGGTCAAAATTGGGGATGACTCAAAATTGGGGATTTATTGATGTACAGGCGACCCCCTCAATTAGTACACCCCCGTGCCATGCGCATTCTTTGTGCACTATCTTCAATGTGCTTTATGTGAGGGGCTCGCTAAAAGGTAGTTTACAGGGCAACGAAATGTTCCGTTACCAGCGTCTGCCGTCGCTGACGCTTCGTGTGTTCATTATAGACACGGCTCAACGCTCGCTTAGCAAGACGTAAATGATAGGACGCCTCCGTAACACGCACCTGCAAATCGACGTGCCGAGCACCCTCTGAAAGTCGCCGCAGCACCTCTTTTTGGGAAGGGTAAGGCGGGTTCTTGGCGCCCTGGTTGCTGGTTCAGTTGTGCTCATTGTGTGATTAGTTGTTCGAAGATGTCTAAGGTTGCTGGGATCTGTAAAAGAATGGAACCCGCTCTCTACGGACGGCGACGACCATTGTGCTCCCGTGAACATACGTGTACACCTGTACAAAGTCGTGCCAAGCTATCAGAGGGTGCATTAAAGTCCAATATGTACTAACTAAAAGTGCACTAATTAAGAGACCCCCCCTGTATGTGCATATGCTTTTTTCAGTTTTCTTGAAATGTGTCCGAAACCTTTTCCCCCTTCCTGGAAGGGTAGTAATGGTGTACCGACGATTCCGAGCGGTCTGGACTGTCCTACCCGTATTCATCATGTGCGTGTTACGCGATAACTCAATTCCAAACGAGGAGAGGAGGCGGCAAGGGCGCCGACCCTCTCCCTCAAACGGGCAAATGGCTACGCGCAACTCCGTCCGTCTTACACAACTTTATTCATCAACTCCAAACCGGGAAAGCATCCCACGCAACGCGATCCAAGCCGCGGAGTGTGTCGTGAGTAGTTTTTATTCTCAACACGGGCAAGGTGCCATGCTTTGTGGAAGCAGAGAAGGACAACGGCTGAGCTGGCGCCTTCCATTACCGCTCTGTGATTGCAAGGTCATCGCCTGCAGCCGCGCAAGTCCATGACGCGCCCGGCGGGCATCCGTCTCCGACGGCAAAAAGGGCACATTTCGCACCACGGCAGCGGGCGCGCGCATGGCGTCGCCCTAAATGGCAAGCGCGGGCGGCCCTGCCGCCCGCCAAAGCAAATTTCTATGCTGTACAAAAAACAAAATGCGCCGCGCCTCCGGAGAAGCAGGGGTGTGTGTGTGCCTGTGGGTCTCTCTCGATCGGGAGCGGGATTGCATCGCAACTGTGCGCATCTTCAACCTCTGCCCCCCCCTACTCATCCACAATGAATGCGTTTCACACTGACGGTTCCTCTCCCCATGCGGGCTCACTGCACCAGACGCTAATGCGACATCCCCGGCTGGGCGACGCGCTAGCTCGTGTGGTGCGAGATCTCGAGACAGGCCGCATGTCGATGACCTCGGAAAGCAAACGCCGCAAGAGGTACAGTATGTAACGCCACCGTACACCCCCACATCACGGTTCCCCCCCATGCCCATGCACACTTTCCCTCAAGCGCGCTCCCCTTTTTCACATCCTCCGCCAGCGCCACCACCCGAAAAACGCGCCCTCGGCGACGACAGCCGCAGTGACAGCGCCTATGCCGACGACAGTATACGCGGTCTCCCTGGCGGCACGCGTGCGATCGAAGTCGACCTTTGCGTCGTCGTTGTCGTTATCTTTATCGGCATCGTGGAGCGGGGTGTCGGGCGTCTCCATGGGCGGGCCGTCCTTCTCCTCCTCGTCCAGGTCGCGGGCGGGGTCGCCCTCAAGCACCTGGGTGGCATCCGCGGAGGTCTGAATCTCGGCGCCGACGGCGTGCATCCAGGCGAGGGCGCCCCCGACGCGGGCGTACACGCCGGAGAAGCCCGGCAGGCCGCAGCCGTCGCCGCGCGTCACGATTTGTGCACCGTTCGCTGACATGTTGCATTTTACGACCTGATCTCTGTAGTGTTGTAAAAGGACTGTATCCGGTCATTGCTGGGGTGTCTACGTAACTAGACAGGGGATGGTATTTGACAGTGACCTACTCTACGAACACGGTAAAGAGCACAATGCTCAAGGACGGTTGCTTGTCCATAGGTTGATTAATTCTCTTTCTGTCGCCTCCCCTATCTATCGCCTAGGAGTTCGTTCTATTAATACTAGTTTGCTATGCTCACGGTTGCATTTGCTATCGCTTATCTATGCCAACGCTTTTGGCCTCCCGTGTGCATTCTTACTTGCATTCCCTCTTCTTATGCATCACGTTTTGCATTCAGGTATTTGCCATCTGCACTAATGCATCGCATTCACTTATTGCATTTAGGATCTTGCTGCACTTGCGGTGCCTGTCATCTTGCCATACTGCCTGGTTCGAGACGGTTGGTTCCACAACTGTACTGTGCTAGAGTGTCCAGTGTCTATCCGACGAACCGTTATCATAACGCAGAAATCTGCGAATTTTATTTCTTTTCAACTTTGATGTCCTCGGTTTCTATTTCGCATTGGGAGGTTGACTCGTTTTATAATGTTTCTGAAGTTAGAAATGAATAGAAACCATTCTACGGAAACTTGCTTGCTACTGGTATAAACTTAGCTTAAAGAAGAATGCAAACGACAAGCCGACTCTTCTCTTGAACACCTTTATATGTATCAACGAGTTGGTCTTCGCTAGAAATGACGAGAAGCTGCTTTACTTTTGGTAATGGGATTGTAGTTACAAAAAACAAAAGTTAAATCGTTCTTTGCGTTGTCTAGAAAAAAATAGAATAACTTTTGTTCTCATGTGAGGACTAACGTTCTGGTAGACACTAGTGTCTATCCGACCGGCCCTTGTCCTCATTTGAAGACAGCGTTGTCCTCATATGAGGACAAAATTAAATAGAGAACGGTTACGCGTGAAATTAAATTTTTTGATTTTGGCACGGCAATTTGCAGGCACGTGTACCAGTACAGTACATGATCCTCTTCTCCTCCTTTATCAGTAGTTGTAACAGCTACTTCTACTGGGCGACTCCGAAAAACATAAAAACACATTTTGTGTATGCGCAAATCCGCCGATTTTGATTTAGTCGGAGGTGTTTGTGCATACACAAACCGCCGATTTGCTCTTCGTTCCCCTCCCGATGTAATTGTTTGTGCACAGACACAAACGCACATCCGCACCCACCTATACCACCCTATATCATACCATGTGCTCAAATATTTCTCTGCGATCTGTCCGATCAACCCATCCCACCCCTCGGCAACCTCATTCCTACTGTGTATTTCGATCTGGCCTCCCTCCACACTTTCCCTCCGTCGTATCAGCCGCTGTCCAACCCCGCAGCCCAACGTCTACATGGCTCATGTTGCCGACTCCGACGAGGTGCCGGCACCCGATATTTGTCCCCAAGCCGGCGGCTCCTTCGTCAGTATCATAGGATAGGGCGTGAAGGGGGTACCGCAATCCGTCCGCCGGCGTGCTGACACCTCACTGAGGGTGAATTGGCATTAAATGTGTCTTACACAAATTTTTGTTCACATGCATTTCCGTGCCAAGGCACAAAATACGACACACATACACAAGGAAATTTGTGTGTACACAATTTATGTTTTTCGGAATCGCCCACTATATAACGTTCTACACAAACTATAACTCACAACCGAAGCGAGCGTGGTGTAGTCGGCAACGGCTGGGGCGTGTTCGTGAAGGTTGCGAGTTCGAGCTCGCTGGGAAACTTTTGGAATCCCAAACGTTCCTCCCGGAACTCGACTGGTTGCGAAACCGAGCTACTGTCTAGGTACGCCTTCGGGCCTCCACTTGAATTTTAGACAGAATACGGTGACATCTTTTAAAGGGAGATTCAGTACGCCATAGACAGTAGCTAACTTTGCAAGTGAGATGACGCAAGTGCGACCGGTAGGGGGCTGGGCTATAGCTAATAACTTATTTTTTTATTTTTTCCGTCTAAAGCGTGATATTTCGCCAATAAAAGTCTCCTTTACATTAATTCTATGTAGTGCTTCTCTTTCAGGTGAGAAGAGAAGCAAGTTCTCTTCGTCCCTGCGTGACATAAAAAGATATCTCCGAGTCCATTGTCACGACACGTTGAGCACAGAAACTTGGACTTGAAAGTACTGGAAGATGTACAGCGACCTTGATGCGAAGCATTAGAAAACGATCCATCAGCAAGCTTTCTCTTCTTATTTGTCTCTGCTAGATGTGTTCCGATCCCCGCAGCAGGTTCTTCATCGCCAGACAGTTCACTATCTCCAGCATTGTCCCACGACCTTCTCTTGATAGAATGATATCTGTTGTCGATAAACTCTTCTGCAAGTCTCTCATAGAGGGCGGACTGGTACATAGAAAGCCAAGCACCGTGAGCGTACTTGTAAAGCAACAAAGCATCAACGATGGTCACAGCCAATAAAGAGCTATTGACACGTATTGACCACGTTTTGACTTCAAGCTTCTTTTCCAATTGCAATGAATCTTGTCTGTATCGGTTATGTCGATCAATTGGAGAGCACGTACTGTAGTACTTTTCCACGTCCTCAGGAACAGGAATCTCGAAAGAAACCTTTTCCGTTTGATCTCCCACGGATCTCAATCTTTCGCGAGAAATAGGCGTCTCAGTATTCCTAGTGTGACAGCTGCTCACAAAATACCTTCTCTCTTTGTCCATCCAAAGAACGGACATCAGATCCCTTCCGTTTTCAGCGTTACTTGATTTCATTGATACGTGATCACCACGTGATGATAGTTCTTTACTAGACAAATGCTCCATCGGAAACTGTTTGGTCGCATTTTTCACAGCTCCAATGAACTTCATTCCATATTTCAACAGTGTCTCAGCGGTTTGGACTCATGCAAAATACGAATCTCCGCACAACAAGCGGCCAGATCGCAACCAAGGTTTGATCAACCTCAATGTTAACGCCGTGGTGTAACTGCACTGGTCGCGGAATTCAGGCATCTGCACACCGGTCTGAACCGCAACCAGTTCCATTCTGAGCATAACTCCAGATGCACCACTCGCCATTGATTTGAGCTCATAACCACTTTTCGGGTTTGCGATTATAGGCCACGTAGTGCAGTAGGCCCATCTTGATCCAATCTCCTCCAAGACCATAACACCCACTGATACTCTCGTCGACACATAAATGGTCGGATGGGTACACATACGATTCACGGTGCTCATTTATGGCCCTAATGAATAGACTGAAAAGTGACCAACGAGAATCTGTCAGAACCGAATCGTCTTGCTCAGAAAGGTCACGGAAGCATAAGTGAGAAAGAAGGGATTCAAACCTTTTCCGTCACATCATTTTGCCGAAATCAGGAGTTGGAATATATTTTGATGAAGTTTTTTTCCAAAATCCCGGCGACCTGAACCGTTAACCTTGTCAGCAGAATCTGCAATCCCAAAAACCGTGGCAGTTCTCCAGCTGTGACTGAGCGAAGATCGTCCTCTTCAAGTTTCACATTGGTAAGGCTTTTTATGACCTATAAATGTTTCATAGGAAGCATAGCGATAAAGCAACCAAACGGAGAGAGATCACGGGGGCTTTTCCAGATGTGAAGTTATCACTAGATTGTCCAATCATCTTGCAGATCTTTTTTGTAACAGGTCTATTGAGGGCGGTCACTGCTTCATTCGTGGTCCACATTCGTCCATGAGAAACTGCATTTCCATTGGCAGAAAGTGTATCATGCCCCGTGACCAAATCGATGAGATCGAGTTCTTGCTCCGTTTCGCCGTCAAATGAGATTAAGGGCGGTGAGAAAGGCTTTTCTTGTGTGTCATCCGTCACTGACGTGTCTGGACCGGACTTAATATTGACAATCTTGAGCGTGACTCGCTTCTTTCGATTCTGAATCTTCCAATCAACCTCGACGGATCTGCGTCTACGACCGTTCATGATGGTCTGGATCAGATTGACGAGAGTTCCAGTCACGCATTTGGTCTTCCATTGCCAACCGAATAACGTTTACATTCTGAGGCGGAAGTCACAAGACTTGCTCGACGATGGACTAAATTTCCAGTCACAGTACGAAAATCTGAACGAGTGGCCATAATGCGGAAACTGGTGACCGGGGAACACAAAATACGGCAGTACGCAAACTTTTGTTAAGATTCTTGATATCTTTGTTTTGGTCTTTTGTGGGAACTCCCCAACGGTACTTTCTCAGTTTCCAGCACATAACATTCACTAGGACAACACTAAAAAAATTACCGTCAAAATTGTCCTCATATGAGGACAACGGTCCAATAGACACTAGACGACCGGCAATGTGCCCCCTTTTTTTGGAAAAAAGTTTTTTTAAATCGAAACTTTATGAAGTCAGTTTGGACAAATGCATTCTCCCGTATATTAAAATGTATGATGCAAATCTGCTTGGAGAGTGTGGTGCAGGATCGATGCCTCCGTTTACTGATTCCTAATGCCTGTATACCTTATAAGGGGAGGCTAGGGATCTGTACGCCGGCGGCGAGTGAGGTGAACTGATCGTTCTGTCATGCGTGTGCTATATGTGCATGTATGGCTCTCATGACAGAGAGGTAACATTTGATCCCCCATTTTTTGATATTGCCTGGGCAACCGCCTGGGCGACCACCAGTCTTGTAAACCGTTTGCGGCAAAATTCGCACTGACGTGAGCGGAGCGATTCGTGCCTTTCAACAAGCAACTTTTAGTTGCTTAACACGTATCCGTTGCCGACTTACAGAGAAAGAACCCATCGGGGCACAATTTTAGTCGTCACAAAAAATGAGCACAGGGCTAATACGGCCTTACCACCGCCACATTCCCTTAGAACTGTCATGATTCCCATGTACAGCACACACACCTCTGACACGCACACATGTGTCATAGCTGACACCTGGACAGGCAGCGGCTCCGTCCCTCCGCGGCCGCCTCCAAGTTGAGCCTGTGTGAACTGGAGACCGATGACTCCTCGTTTACTCGTCGTCGCTCGTGGGTTAAGTCTGTCCTGTATAGAACAGGCTGTCCTGTGCGGTCTGACACTACAAAATGGCTATTGGCGAATGTGATTGTGCGGTCAGACAGTCCCCGGGTTCGCCAATAGGGGTTTTGGGGCGACGATGCTAAGGTTACGGAGGAGGTGCTGTGTTCGTTGGGGTCCGAGTGGTTTGGTGAAGTAGTCGGAAGGTTTTCGTCGGAGGGGATATGTTTGATGTTGACGGTTCCTCTTTGAATGTGGTTGTGGATGAGGTGATGTTTGACGTCAATGAATTTTCGGCGTTTAGTGGGCGCCGAGTTTTGGGCAACAAGGATGGCAGCCTTGTTGTCGACGAAGAGCGGTGTCGGTTTAGTCTCAGGCGTTTGTGTTTCGCTGAGAAGCCTTCTGAGCCAGTGGGCCTGTTGTGTAGCGGCGGTGGCGGCTAAGTACTCTGCTTCGCACGTGGAGGCAGCGACAACTGTCTGTCGGGCTGATGCCCAGCTTATAGGTGCGCCTTGGAACATGTGTACGACTCCGGTTTGCGATTTGCGGTTGTGATCATTCGCGAAGTCGGAGTCGCTGTACGTGCAGAGAGTGGGGGAGGTGGTTCTGGGTGCGGCTTTGAAAAGGATGCCGTGATCCTTTGTGCCGCTGAGGTAGCGTAAGAGCAATTGGAGGTGGTCTTTTTGCTCTTTCGCGGGATTGTGCATTACCGAGGCTAGCATGCTGATGGCTGGATGTATGTCTGGCCTTGTACTGTCCGCTAGGTAGCGCAGATCGCCTATTGTTCGGCGGTACAGAAAGGCCTGATGTTGTTCCAGTGATGTGTTGTCATGTGCGAAGGTGAATGCTGCTTTGGGGGGTAGTGATGTGCGCTTTGGGTTTGCCGCGAGCATTCCTATTTTCGTGAGTATTGACGTGGCTACTTGCGGCTGTGCGATGTGTATTTCGCCTTGTGGCATACGTTGTATGTGCCATTTCAAGTATTGGGCTGGGAAGCCGAGGCGCTTGATTTTGTATTTCGCCGTGAGGGTGGTGTGTGGGTCGTCTTGCATGGATTGGGTTGAGGCGACAGAGAGAAAGTCGTCCATGTTGATTGCTACGAGTATGGTGCCTTTGTTTTATTTTTTGAAAAATAGGCATGGGTCGGCTTCGGTAGGCTGGTATTCGTGGGAGGTTAGGTGTTTGAGTAGGCCGTTGTGGTAAATGCGGGCGGCTTGTAGTGTGCCATATATGTTCCTTATGAGGAGTCCCGCTTTTCCTTGGTGTTTAAATGTGCCATTGAAGCGAGGGTGTTATTTTATGTATACCGGTTTCGTTTGGGGGAAGCGTTCATGGAGGTAGGCTGAACTGATGTCCATGTGTTCTAGTGATCAATTGCGGGAGGGGGCTATGGCTAGTAGGAGTTGTACTGTAGTCTTGTCCGCCATGTGCGTGGTTACTTGGTCGGGGTCGTAGTTCTATCCAGGTGTCATACGGTCGCCTCTTGCGGCGCATCTTGCTTTGCGATCAGTGACGGCTCCCGTGTGGTCCCGTATGTAGCGGAAAGTCATGGTGAGCGGTATTAATTTTTCGTGTTTTGGGATCATGCTGTCGGGGATCCATTTGATGGTGT